ATACAGCGAGTATATCCCAAACTCTGTATTTTAACTGGAAAAGTTGGGTGCCATCTTATGCACACAGTTGTCTTATATGCCAGAAAATGCTGTATGGTTTTGAAAGGTGGTCAGTGAAGAAAGCTGATAGGAAGAAAATCAAGTCATTTGAAATATGGTGATAGAGAAGAGTACTGTGGATACTGTGGACTGCTAAAAAGACCAATAAATGGACCGTAGAGCAAATTAAGCCTGAACCTTCCCTAGAAGCAAAGATGATTAAACTGAGGCTATTGTACTTTGGCCATATCATGAGAAGACATGAATCACTAGAAAAGATAGTAATGCTTAGCACAATACAAGGCAGCAGGAAAAAAGGAAGACCACATTCCAAATGGATAGAGTCAATCAAGGAAACCATAGCCCTGAATCTGCAAGACGTGAGCAGGTCTGTTGATAGTAGGGCGTCTTGGAGGTCTCATTCATAGGATCACTGTAAACTGAAGCTGACTTGACAGCAGTTAACACCAAACAAACAACTCCAGGTCATCCAGATTGAGCTTCAGGGCCTGAGGTACCCACCCCTAATGTAATAGTGGCTGGATAGATAGTTCATGTCTGAACAGCCTGGGGGGCTGTTGAAGAGAGAGACCTGATTAAGGCTGACCACAATCTAGGACTTTTCCCTCATTCCAACCAAACATACATCAGGTGTTTTTGTGATGCCCGGAGGGGATTTCTGTAGACTGCGAGGCATAGCAGATGTTAATAAAAAGGTGGGTTCATATGAAAGTAGTGTGGTCCTTATTCCTGCTATGAAGTTTTTATGTTATCCTAAGGCTGGCAGCAAATACAGAGGAAATTGCAGTGACTGTGTAGTTGTTTGTGCTTTATTAAAACAGTGGCATAAGCACTGCTGTGTCAGCCACCAGTTGAGATCCATCAAAATAGATCTTCTTTGTACCTTCCTCCCCTTGCTTTGTTCATACCATCTTAGTATGCTGGTAGAAATAGTACAGTGGCACTATGACAGAGCAGATGTTCCTCTTCCACATTGTGTCTCCCTTAACCACTTATGGCCAGAAGAATAATTTTATGCAGCCAGCCAGGTGGTTGTCTTTCCTTGGCTTGAAACTGCAGTCCTGTACAAGACTATCCCTGCTACTGGGATTTGATAAAGGAGGAAGTACAGCTGGTCTAGTATGGCTAGGTGGGGGGAAGTCAATGATAGTTGCCCTTCATCAAAGTGAATCCCATCTCTGAAGCAGAGCTGCTCAAAAATTAAGTGGGAGGAAGTCAACGATAGATATCTGTGGTATGGGCCAAGGGTTAGGCTTTTCTTTCTGCCAAGAGTGTGGAGCATCGTGTGTATTTTGTGCCCTGTTCACTCTTGAAAGTAGCAGATGGCTTCAGGTCCCAGGAGGTGGTGAAGCTGGAGCTATTATATCACCAGTGGACTGTGGAAAGCAGCAACTTCTGCCAGATTGAAGAGGTGTTTGACAGTAGGGGAGCTGGCAGCAGCAGCAGACAAGCTCTGCCTGGCTTACTCAGTTGAATTACAGTTAGCAGGATATCACATTTGTATGGGTGATTGAGGATAACCCTAGTGATCTCACAGGTTGAACAGACTGTGCTGGGGAAATCACAGCTTCCTGTACTTATTTTTTCCATTATTTTTTAAATCCCTTGTTTTAATGGTGTATTTAACAGAGAAAATGTTTCTTGGAATTTGAACAACTAATAAGGCAAATAATCGAGCAAACAGAGAAGCAGTAGGTTCTGTTTCAGAGTAAAAAGTATCAGTATGTTTTCAGCATTCCTCCCCCCCAAAAAAAGTCTTATTCTAAAATTTTAAATCAGAAAACCTGCCATCATTATCACTGTATCCTATT